GAAGCCCCAGGTGAGAAGCAGAGAGTGGCAGGTGTGGGGGGGGGTAGGAAGCTGTCAGTGGGCTCAAGGCAGCTGATTACCAGCTGTATGTAGATGCAGGTGGACCTGGTGGCTCAGTATGTGATGAGGGTGGGCCAGCAACGCATCTGGTACCTCCAGCCACCTGGATTGGGAGAAACATGAAATCATTGTCTTTCATCTGTAAATATCTGTTCCTAGGAGCTATTTCTTTGAAGCTGGGTTGGCACCTATTTGGGAAGATACAAGAAGAGTCAGTATTTGTAGCCATTAGTTTTAGTAATTATTCATGACACCTATGCACTCACTCGAAAGAGTCTGTTTTCAGGCAGTGAATTCATGGGTCATGATTCCTTTAGAAAATAGCTGTGACAGCATCCAGCCCTCACTCCCGTCGTGAAGAGCTTGCTGCACGTGGGTTGTGTTCACCTGATCCTGAGCCAATGTGAACGAGGATTATGGTGTCAGGAGTTCATCCTGTACCCACCTGACAAGATAGCTGGGTGTTCAGAGGGCTGGGGAGGGTTGGGAGGGAACCCTTCTTCCAGTTCCACATGCTGCAGCCTATCCCCATTTCTGCCCTTGTAGAGTGTTTGGCTTATCCTCTTGTCTAGCTTTCACTCCACCCTCACTTCCTATGTTTCATCCAAGTTTGTCTGGAACTCAAGGCCACCCCAGATCTCTCGTCAGTTGGAACTATCTCATCTTCTTCCAGTCCTTTCCCCAGGGCTGACCCAGCTTTCTGATCCTTTTCTGAGCTATGTTAGATTTTGCTGTGGTTTGAATGTCCTCACCAAAACTCATGTTGAAATTTAATTTGCCTTTGAGATGAGAAGAGGGTAGAAACTTAATGCACCTTGGAAGAGAGATCTTTGGGAGTAATTAAGTTTAAATGAGGCCACTAATACAAAGAGACTATGGCTTTATGAGAAAAGGACAAGAGACCCGAACCAGGAAGAGAGACCTGTGCAAGGAAAACTACCAGCAAGAAAGACCTCCCCAGATGCAATCTCTCGACCTTGAACCTCTCAGCCATCAAAACTCTGAGCCAAAGAAAGATTTATTCTTTACGGATTTCTTCGTTTGTGGTATTTACTTATACCAACAGAAAATGCACTGAGTTAGGTGGGAAACATTTAAATTTTTGCCAAGAAGTCCATTCCACACCCCCTGCTTTAGCTCAGATCCTGGGAGTTCTAGGGCTACATCAACCTGAGTTCATTATGCATTTGGCCAAGAAGCTGGGCTGCCTGACCGTCCCTGCCAAAGGTTTGTTTTTTGCTGTCTCAGCTATTTTTCTCCAATTCTGCTTGAGCAGGTCTTAGAATTCCCATCATACTCTGTGACCAAGACAGAATCTGGAGTATAACAAGATCTGGCATTAAGCTGCTGAGATAAATGAGAAAGACTGAAGGGGTAGAAATAATGAGGTCCATAAGATTCAGTCATTCATAAAAATATTCCCAAAATATTTAGCAACAGCGTTCCAGAATCACAGTAGGAATTTCATAGACACAGGATGGGTACAGAAGTATGTCCCCCAGGGGCTCTGGCAACCAGGTGGGTGAGAGTGGGGATATATCAGCCCTAATTCATCTCCCAATCAACTGGGAGAGATTGCCCTCATGGCTCAGGAAAAGTGTATTGCATTTAGTGCATCAGCTGCATAACCCTGGGATTGGTAGTAGTGTTGAGGAGATTTCTTGCTCTGGTCTTGAGTTTCCATGAAGCAGGTAGTCCTGACCCCTTGCTGTCCCCTATGCTCTCCTTCTCCACTGCTTCTTATCTGGCTGCTCACAGGAGGGATGCATTCAGCTCTGCTCTAAGTTTTATGAGGCCAGCCTTCTGGAGGCAGTTCTGTGATGACCCAGTGTTCTGTGAGTCTGGGTGGGCAGTTTAACTTTGAGCTGAAGGAATAGGAAGCCTAAATCCTAAGTCATGTTCTTCAGGATTGACTATTCTATCATAAAGGATATTTTGATCTCCACTTTCCAGATAGTCTATCAGTCAGCTTTCCATCACTGTGAAAAATCAATAAAGGATAAAGTTTACTTTGGGTCACAGTCCACGGTGTGTTGACTCTGCTATTTCTGGGCCTGGATGGGGAGTGCATGGTGGAAAAAAGCTACTCACCTCATGGTGGCTGAGAAGCAAAGAGAGAGAGAAGGGGCTATGATTTCAATGTCCTATCAAGGGCATGCCCCAGTGACCTAACCTCCTTCCATTAGACCACATCTCCTAAATGTTCCAGAGACTCACAACTAAGGTGGACATTCAAGGTCCAACCCATAACAGACCCATGTCTATCCATTAGTTCTCAGATTTAGTGGGAAACAGGGATACTGGTTATTGGGCCTCCTCAAAACTCACCACACAGTTGCAATGCCATAAGGTTTGTGAGAGATTGAGAGATGAATCTTTAGAATGGGCTTGGAACTTAGAGTTTAAAAATGCGGGCCTTAGACATTTGACCTAGTATTTCCATTTTAAGGATATAAATAAGGATCAGGGAAAAGATAATAACTAGAATGAATATTTATTTCAACTTTGATAGAGAAAAAAATAGAAATCAACCTAGTTACCCATCCACAGGGGATTGGTTAAACAAGGTATGATGCATCTTAATGATGGGATATTGGAGAGCCATTAAAACTGTCTTAGGATTCTATCTATGCACATACAAACATGTGCATAAGTACTAAGTGGAAAAAGAAAGATGCAAAACAACATATGGAGTGTTAATAATAAAAGCTATCATTTGTCAAGTGCTTATTGTGTGCCAGGTATTGTGCTACATATTTTTCTAATAATGATCCTTATAATGTTCCTGTGAGGCAGGAGGTACATTTCTCATTGTCAAGATGAGAAAGCTGAGGCTTTAGGAAATTAATTCCTTGCCCAAGGTCACATGCCAATGAGAGAGCTGGGGTTCCATCTCTTATTCCCACAATCTGTGTGTTCTGGCTTATAATGGTCACATAATCAAAAATCCAGAGGGTATCTGAAAAGCTATACAATAATGTACATAGGGTAGTTAACTCTGGTGGACAGATTACAGATTTTTATTTTTGGCCTTTTTTTTTGGTACATTATAATTTATCTGTTTGTGAACTCTCTCTCTCTCTCTCCTTCTCTTTTCCTTAATTTATTAAATAAGTGTGTGTTCTACTCCTAGAAATAGAGGAAACAAAACCTTGTCCCATGGGGTTTACACTCTAGTGGTGGGGAGGCAGACCATGTACCAAAAAAAGAAAGTAAAAGTAAAGTCCATAGCAAATTTGAATGTGATAAGTTAATGGGGAAAATAGAGCTGGGAGGGGAGTATTGGAATGTCAGGGCAGGGGTAATTGCAATGACAGATAGGTAGAGTCGAGTTGACCTCACTGACAATGCAATGTTTGAGCAAAACATTTGGGAGCAATGGAGGAGGCCATGCAGAGAAGAGGGCAGTAGTGTTCTAGCAGAGGGAACAAGATCAGAGGTCTTGGGACAAGAACATACCCAAAGAAGTCAAAGAGCCCAGAGGTCGGAGTGGCTCCCTGTGGAGAGATGGGGAGGCAGGAGGGATGAGACCAAAGAAGAAATAGGAGGGCAATGAGTAAGCACTCAAGCTGATGAGAAGACTTGGATCTTTTTGAACAAGATGAAAAGCAACGCGAATGATTTGGGGCAAAGAAGGGATATGACTGGACTTACTTTAACAGGATAACTCTGGCTGCTGTGTGGGGAATAGCTATCTGGGAGGAGGCAGGAATTGAAGCAGGAAGAACAATTAGGAAGCATCAGAGAAAATCCAGGAGAAAGAGAGAGTGGTTTGGACTAGGACTTGGTTTCTCTAACTATCCGTTAGGATAGTTTCTTAGGATGAATAAATCCAAACATTGTGTGTGTGTGTAAGGTATGTACTGAGCATTGTAGGACTTATAGCAGCAGCCCAGGCCTCTGCCCACTAGATGCCAGTAGCACCCTCTCAATTGACAACTCAGAGTCCCCCAGATGTTGCCACAGGTCCACTGGGAAGCAAAATTGGCAAATGGCGTTAAAAATCTCTAGAATAAGGTGACAATAGTGAAGAGGTAAGAGGTGATCAGATTTAGGACTTGTTGAGTTTACATGTAGGAAAAGAAAGAGTCAGGAATGATTCCAAGGTTTTTGGCCTGAGCAACCAGAGGGAAGAACTGCCCTTGACTGAGATGAGGAAGACCACTGGTGGCACAAGTCTGAGGCAGGGCAGTTCGGAGTTCATTTGAGAGGTCCAGATCACAGTCAAATAATATGGCTTAGGTAATTTTAGAAAGGGTAAAACAGAGATAAGGGCTAAGGTCATGGGGGAGTATAAATGATGTTCCAATGGTCCTGGGGAAAGAGAGCGTTGTCAAGGGACCTCACAACCTTGGGGTCACAGATACTCTAGGAAGCCGTGAATTCTGAGATCTCAGAATCACTGTTAGTCATAATTTATCTCAATGAGGGTCAGTAGTTGGCTTGCAGGTTGGATTCTTTCAATTAGGAGACGTCACCAGGATGTCTCTAGATCCGTTAGAACCAGAGCAGTGTGTCAAGCCAAGCCTTTGATCTCACAGCCTTGAGTCTATTGAATTATTTACTATTGCACATTTGCTTTATTCAGTGTTTGGTTTCGCCCCACCAAAGAGGAAGGCATGATTTGGAGAACTTGGCTCTTGAATGACTTGCATATCTGATTTATCAAACTGAAAAAAACACTCTTTCCATTTGAAAAAAAAAATCCCTTGTGTTTTACCTACAATTCTTTGGATACATGTAGCCCGAGCTGAAAAGTATTTTGCTGTAGCACAGCTATAGATAGAATCTTCTCATCTGTCTGAGGATATAAACAACCGCAGGAAGTTTGGAATATGTTGTTAAGGCTGTTCTCTTGGTTTCCTTGTCACAAATTCTCCTGCCATTCCACAGAGGATGTGTTGCTTTCTGTTTGGTGTGTGGCTTCCGCTGTTCCTCTCTTCCTCAACTTTCAGCAGTAGGCTCTTCTGACTTCCCTGTTAAAGAGACTGGAGAAAACAAAATGGCACCTTGCTTTCTAACAGAGTGAGCAGATCCTTCAATGTCTGGGAAGACGGTAAAATCTCACTGTGTCCAACTGGAGGTTGCAGGGGAGATGGGTCAGAAGGGAGAGGGAGGAGAAGCTCTAACTTTAAATTAATGAAAATTCTGAGCTAAAGAATATTGTTTTTACTTTATTTCTTTTAAGTAAACACAGCAATAAGAACAAGACTAATAAAAAATTCCTTAAGCAGAAATCCTTCTGGAATACACTTCAATAAGTATGAAATATATATAATGTGCTTGCATTATAGCTAACATGCTTTTTAAAGATTGCCTGAAAGGAGAATTTCCTTTAGAGTTTCTCTATTATTAACTAAATTAGTACATTGAAAAAAAAAAAAAAAAACCTCAAACCACAATTTCACAGTCTGTGTTAATGGATTGAAATCAATGAAGTTTTATGCCGGATGCCCCCTTGCTATTATAAGACTTGCTAATTTGCTTAACTGATGTGACCCCTGTGGCAAGGTGATGGTATTTCAAACATAGGTTAGGATTAAGAGTAATAGAAGTAATTAATCAAAAGAAGTTTTATGTTTTGTTTTGTTCTGTTCTTTTGGCTGCTTTTTTGAGTTTGTGCTGTAGGTTTGTAAATTCATAAGATTATATTACATTCTTAAATTCAGATTAGCCAAGTATCTCTGTCTTTTTTTTTTTTTTTCAATCTGATCTTCTAAAAAATGGGCGAGGGGTATGGCTCTGTGGTAGAGCACTTGCCCACCATGCACAAAGCCCTAGGGTCAATTTAGAAGAAACCAACAAACAAACTCAGATACTTTTTTGAGTTATTCACATACTGAACTGATCTTCTCAAAGAAATATAAGTAGAATTGCCCTAAGGCAATTAAGGATCTAAGATCTGGGGGTCTTCATTTTCTCACTGCATTTTTGGCAAGACTACTGCCAAATACCTCCCTCTTCCATGAATTCCAAACATTTATGGGCACCTAGGAAGTTTCTAGGGTCTGTCCAATAGCACTTTCTGCAAGGATGGAAATGTTCCATGTGGGTTTTGTCCAACATGGCAGACACGGGACTCTTTAGCTATGGAGCACTGGAAATATGACTGGTGCTCATGCACTGAATGTTTTTTTTTTTTCCAGTTAATTTTAATTTTAATAGCACATGTGGCTAATAGCTACCATATTGGACAGCTCAGCTTCTAGACAGTATAATAAAAAAAGAGAATTCTGTATAAACCTCAGACAATTGCTTTCCTTTTTCTTCTCTTCTCCATCTCTCCCATCCTTCTGTCCTTGAACATGTACTGTATACCTACTACTTAGGCTCTGATATTGGTACTCAAAATAGTCTCTGCCTTCGAGGAATTTAGCCAAGGTTGGAATGACACTAATAAGTGGTAGGAAGAAGGAGTTGTGTAGTCAGGCCCCTGAGAACACAGGTAATGCTCCCTTCCTCAAATATATCCACAGCACAGGTGCCCATTTTGGCTAAATCATATTTTTCTCTTAGGCTGAATGTTCATTATAATATTTGTCAAAAGTAATCCCAGTGAGGTTTATCAGGAAGTCTAATGAAAAATGAATGATTTGGGGATCCCAGAATTGCAGGGTAAAGAAGCTATGTGGAAAAAGAAATGGGAACAAGAGTAACTGGGGGTTGTCAGCAAGGTGAGGGTTCTTGTTGTACCCAGAATAGGCAGGAAATAAAAGAGAGACCCAATGACATCTTGACCAGCCAGGCAGAAGGAAGCCTGAGTCATGTTGGTGATTGTCCGTGGAACACCCTGTGGGTTCCAACAGTGATTCTCTCTCTCCTTCTCCGTGTGTGTGTGTGTGTGTGTGTGTGTGTGTGTCTGTGTGTGTGTGTCCCTGGTCCAGAACTTGCCATGCTGTCCTTGTTCTTTATACTCCAATGGTGTCTGAGTTTGACTTTACTAATGAGTCATCTCTGCAGAGGGTGAACAAACTGTTCTGTCTTGGGCACATATTTAAGGAATGAAGGAATTAAAAGGAATGATCTGGATTCTTGTGACCAAGTTAAAAAAGAGACTTCACAATACTTCAACAGTGGCAATGAAGAGGTGGGGAGTCTGAGACAACAGATGTCCTGTTGGAGGGCTGCTGGCCTCTGGGGTCTAGTCATCATTTATTCACTCAACCATTATCTGTTTAAAAGACTTGACTGTGCCAAGCCATCATAGGCACTGTGGACTGTGGAAGAAACTGCACGATGTAGTTGGGAGTTGGATGTTAACCAAGTAATCATAAAGACATAAAATAATTGATCTAAATTTCCAATATGCTCTCTGAAGAGGGGTTATAGGGTGCATTATAGAGGTATTTGACTTAACCTGGGGATCATGGGAGGATTCTCAGAGGAGGTGACAAGTCTACTAAATGGTTCTTCTAGTCAGGCTGGGAGAGAGCTTTTTAAGCAGAGGAAACTGTGCACCTTCTTCTTGGCCCCTTTTGCAATGGTCGTAATGCACTGTCTATTTAATTGTGTGTTGACCTTCTGTCTCCCCGTACAGACTGTTCACCCCAAGAGATCAGGGAATGGATGGGTCCTGGCCACTGTGGCACCTTTAGTGTTGACCTAGCGCCTGGCACACATAGGGTGCTTGGTCAGAACCTATTGGATGTACCATGTGTGGAAGCTCAGAGGTGAGAAGGAATCTGGAGCACTTGGGAGTCTGGAAGGAGCCTGGTGAGGTGGGTGTGCATGGGGTGAGGGAATAAAAGGTTCAAAATGGGACAGAGAAGTCCTCTTGGGCCACATGAAGGATTTGGAACTGTCCTAAGAACAATGGGAAGCTATTGAAAGGGGTCAAGTAAGAGGTGATGAAAGACTAGGGTATGGTTCAGTGGTAGAGCTCTTACTTATCGGGTAGATGACTGTGGGTTCAATCCCTAGCATGGGGCGTGGGGGGATTTTGAGATAAAAAATTCAGGTTAAAAATATTATTCTGGCAGCTGTCAGAAGAGTAGGTTGAAAGGGAGTAAAAGTGGACATGGGAAGTTCAAATAAGGTGGTTTTAGGGGTTCAGGTGAAAAACAATGGTGTCTTAGACACTAGGGAGATGGAGAAAAGTAGATGGATTCAAGGGTCAACTAAAAAAAAAAAAAAGAAAAGAAACCCAATTGAAAAAAATGGCCAAAGGATCTAAATAGACATTTCTTCAAAGAAAATATCCAATGGCTGATAAGCACCAAGAAGCTTCTCAAAATCATTAACTAGCAGAAAAATGCAAATCAAAACCACAATGGAATTCCACTTCATAACCAGGAGGATGAGCAGAATCAAAAGGATGGATGATAAAGAGTGTGAGTGATTATGTGGAGACTTAAGAACCCTCAGACACTGCTGGTAAGAATATAAAATGGTGCAGCCACTTTGGAAACTACTCTGGCTGTTCCTCAAAATGTTAAACAAGGAGTGAACCTGTAATTCTGCTCCTAGGTACATGCTCAAGAAAATGAAAACATATGTCCACACAAAAAGTTGTATATAAATGTTCATAGTTACAGTATTCATAATTGTAAAAAAAAGGTAAAAATACCCAAATGTCCATCAAATGATGAATGGATGAATAAAATATGGTACAGTAGTCCCGCCTTGTTTGTGGCTTAGCTTTACCAAGGTTTGTTACATGTAGGCTGAAAATATTCAATGGAAAAGTACAGAAATGAACAATTCATAAGTTTTCAATTGTCATTCTCAATAGTGTGGTGAATCTCAATTGGTTCCATTCCACCCCACTCAGGATGTGAATCATTGCTTTGGTAAAGTGTATCCACACTGTCTACACTGCCTGCTCAGTCTCTGAGCAGCTATCTCAGTTATCAGATCAGCTGTCACAGTATCACAGTGCTCATGTTCCAATAACTCTTATTTTACTAATTAATGGCCTCAAAGAGCAAGCAATTTTATTACAGTATATTGTTATAATTATTGTGTTATTAGTAATTATTGTTAATTTCTTACTATACCTAATTTGTAAATTAAACCTTATCATTTGTGAAGGCTGGAAAAATGTTCAGGTCTGGAGAGCAAATCAGGGACCCGTTATCTTGGCAGCTGCAGAACCACTGGTTCTTGATGATGATCTCAGAGATCGTCTGATTAAACCTGAGGTCCATACAGGGGAAAAAAAGCATAGAGATTCAGTACAATCTGAAGTTTTAGGCTTGGATTGGGGGTCTTGGAATGTGTCTCCTGTGGAAAAAAAGGGGACTACTGTATATCTACACAATAGAATATTATCAAAAAGGAATGAAGTACTTGGGCTGGGGCTGGGGCTCAATGGCAGAGCACTTGCCTTGCACATGTAGGCCTCTGGGTTCCATCCTCAGCACTACATAAATTAATAAAATAAAGGTATTGTGTCCATTTAAACTAAAAGTTAAAAAAAAAGGAATGAAGTACTGATTCATGCTACAGTGTTGATTAATTTTTAAAGTATGCTAAGTGAATGAAACCAGGTAAAGAGGCCGCATAAGATGTGATTCCATTTATTTGAAATGTTCAGAATAGGCAAGTCCACAGAAAAGAGATTAGTAAAAAAGTTGGAAAGGAAGGAGAAAATGACAACAGGTGAAGGTCACAGGTGAAGGGCACAGGGCATGGGTTCGGACAGCCCAGAAGAGAAAATTTAAGTCATAAGCCTGAATTCTGTGCAAATTTGCCTCTAGGACCCCAGGGAAGCAGCTCCCCACACCGAGCCTCTAGTTCAGGGCGCAGAAGGTTGGGGTGGTGAGGAAATCCCTTTATTAGATGCGGCACAGTTACTAAAACCACGGCCAGGGAGGAAAACCTCTGTGCTTTCCTGGAAGCACTTAAACTTTAAAGACCCTCTTATCTGCCATGTCATTAGGGGACCAGCATGGCGGCCCTTCGATTAATTTAATAGACTTTTATACAGCATTTATCAACATCCACGTAGCCGTGATACCATACAGAAGCGCCGGCAGGAGATGCGCAAAGCTTGTAACTAGTGAGAGTGAGATTAGTGGGAAGCAGAATAGAGTTAAAGGCCCCCGATAGTGTTAAATAATAATGGCGTCCCCTTGGGTCCCAATGTCACGGCAGATGAGAGGATCTTTAAAGTTTAACTGTCCCCGCTGGAGAGGACAGGCAGTTTCATCCCCAGGGTGAGCAATCAGAGAAGGGACAAAGCAGTCGTAGGCAGGCTTATGGATTAAAATGTCTTTCTATGAGTGGCAGATGTGATATGTGTATTTTGGTTAATCCTTTTTTTTTTTTTTTTTTTGTCCTGAGGCCTGGGAATGCTCTCTGATGTTTACATGCTCTGAGAAAGGGGACAGGAGGATTGGAGATCCCAGAGCACAGCAGGGGTAGAGAGCTGGGATTTCAGTTTATGGGGAGATCAGGTCCAGGGGTCCAGAGACATCTGTAAAAGGAGAAGAAAGGCAGGAAAGAGCCAGCAAAAGGTGGGTGAGGTTAATTTAGGATGAAATAGCCAGAAGCAGGAATTAGAAGTAGAAAATCAGAAGTTTCTCAAATGGAGGCTGGCGGGCAACAGGGCGGGGGGGTGGGGGGCTCTTCTGAGCTTTAGGAATGGCGGGCACCCGTGAAGGCTGGAAAACTGTTCAGGCCTGGAGAGCAAAGCAGGGACCCATTATCGTAGCAGCTGCAGAACCACTGGCTCTTGATAATGATCTCAGAGATCGTCTGGTTAAACCTGAGGTCCATACAGGCCACATGCCTGAGATAACCCATGGCAGGAATCCTGGGCTCAGGACCTAATGCTGATCACTCCCTCCTGGGGAGGGCGAGGCTGTGGTTGTCCCATTCAGTCCAGGCCCAGCTGAATAAGGGACTCTGTTGAGTCATGGGCAAGCCCCCGGTGTGTGCTACAGGCCACCTTCTTAGCCTCGTTGGTGACAAGTGTGGTGTTCTGATCCCCATTTGCTCACCCAGGGTAATTATCTGATCAGGAGAATCATATCCTGAACTCCTTAAAAACCCTAACAGCTGTCACAAGGACCCATCAGCATGGGATATCGCCAAGGATGAACATTTGGAGAGCAGAGCAACAGGTGTGGAGCGAGGTATCTTGTGCTCGTTCATGTTTGGGCAGCTTTAGGCCTTGGGCTCAGGGAGTATGGGCACATGGAATTTCTGTCAAGATCGGCCATTGCTGCCAGTGGCAACTTTATCTGCTGGGAGTGGCTGGTTTGGTTCTGGCAAGGGCTTTAGTAAAAAAAAAAAAAAAAAAAAATATATATATATATATATATATATATATATATATATATATATTTTTTTTTTTTTCTATCTCAGTATGCAGAGTGCTACCACTTGACTTTGAACTTAGGCTCTTCTTGGTTGACATAACCACTGGTTTGTAGGTAAAGGCTGAGCCAAAGATAAGATCATCTTAGGCATGAGCAAGCAGGAGTCTGTCTCTTGCCTTTTTTATATTTCTCAGCTGTGTCTGTGGGCAAAGTTTTCCCTGAATTAAAAAAAAAAAAGGAAAAAAATTCAAGTTTCATGAATGCTACAGAACACTCATGTCATATTGTTAGTGTCACACCTAGAAGATATTGTGACATATGGTAGCCCAAATTAGGGCATAGGAGGGAACTGAAAATGTTACTTGTAATTCTGGGGTATGTCCATTAGTTCTTAACATGTGATTTCATATTGACTCTGGATTATTGATTATATAAATTATTCCCAGTAAGAATTATTATTAAAAGAGAAGTACCATCTTCTTGAGAGGAGGCAGAGAAACCATAAGATAACACTATTGTCAACTCAAAGTCCAAGAGAATAATTGAAAGGATCAATAAATGGGAATTTGTGTCTCTGGGAATCATATTGCTCTGAAATCCAGGGGGAGCTCAAGGGACATTGAAAATATGCTTCCTTCTTACCACTAGAACAAAAATATAGAAAGAATCCAAAGGAACTATAGGAGAACAGGCTGAGAAGGGGGAAAGAGAAGAGCTTCCCTTAGGAGAAGGATTGATGTCTTTCAGATTAAAAAAAAAAAAGAAAGACAGACAAAGAAAAAAGAAAGTAACCTAGAAGCCTGGGTTAGAGAACCAGGAAATGGGAGGTGCATCTGGGTCCAATGACTCTTAGGGAGCCAGTTGGGAAATGGTGACAAATTTCAGTTATTAAAAGATGTGACAACATAGATTGGGGGATTATCTAACAAATGAAGAAAACAAGAGAAATGACCAGAATGATTTCCCCAGAAGGAGTCAAAAATCCAGGAAAACAGGGAGAAGCAGCCTCTTAGGGCTGATGATAGAGTCCACAGTAAGAGCAATTAGAGAGCATCTTTGAAGACTGAGACAGCTGTCCAAGGTGGTCACATAATATGGGGATAGATTTGAGAAGGGCTGACTAGAAGGATCAACATAAAACACTTCAGTGTTACCTGATGTGCAGCCATAGTTGAGGAAAGGGAGCATACGGGCATCTCCCGGATCCAGATTCATGACTAAGAAACTGGCAGAATTACAACAACCAGGAGAAGGCATGACCTACTAATGGGAGCAGGGCAGGTGGGGGTAGCCGTAAGTCTGATGGGAGAATATCTTCCAGGGGGGGCTCATCTTACTCAGGGAGTGACAATGGACAAGATTTGAACAACGATTATCTTTGTCATCCACTGATTTTATTTCTCTTACTGTGTAAGGACAAATTGGAGAGTAAGTTAGAAGACACCAGTAAGGGCCACGGAAAAGAATGCAAAGGAGGGGACGCTTGAATCCTGTGAATGTGCGAAGCCTTCAGGGGGCAGAGGAAAGGAACAGTTATAGAAGTAGTTTCAACTAGTACTCGCGGAGCTCTTCTGAGAGGGGCCAGGTGAGAGCAGAGGATCTGAACACCATCACGCATTCCTCTGTGGCAGCTGAATGTAGAGCAGAGAGCCATGGGCCTGGAACCCTGGGACCACCAAGTCCTGAGGAAGACTGCAGCCTGAGGAGCACATGGCAAGGGCTGGGGCTTCCTCAGTCCCCCAGGGCACAGCATGGTGAGTTCAGGGATCTGCCAAGGGTGGCTCTCCCTGAAGCAAACGTCAAGGGGAGGGGAGATTCTCAAGAAGTTGTTTTTTTCTGGCCTCAGCAACTTGGTCGTGAGAGACAATTGAAGCACAATTGTGGCCCACTAATATCTGCCTGCTTACACTGTTCCAAAACAACCCGGGGGCCCATGTCCCTAAGAACCTACACTCAATTCCTAACAGAGTGTTAGAAACAGCACTGAAAGGGAAACGGAAGCTCAGGATAGGCTGGAAGGAAAAGAAAGTTCTCAGGTAAGACCTACTGCAGAAGTTTAGGAGATGACTTGGTGACTACAGTGAATAACATATTATTATATTCTTATAGTCTCGAAAATTGCCAAGAGGACAGTATTTAAGTGTTCTCACTTCAAAAAAAAAAAAAAAAAAACTATGTGAGGTAATGCATATGTTCATTGGAAATCAATTTCACCACACCACAATGAAAACATATTTCAAAGTGACATATTGTACACGTTATATGTATACAATTTTTATTTGCCAATAGAATAAAAGAATCCAGTGCCTGAGACCACCGCTGCTGCCTCTTCTAACATGGCCTCACTCAGAATGGAGTCATTTTCCTTCTAGACACGGAAAATAAATTGTGCTATGATTAAACTCTGCACGGAAGAACCTCCCAGTGAATTTCAATTCCAGCTGTGGGCATTTGGCACAAGTCCTGGGAAGACCAATGCTGCGCTTTCTGTTTCTGCTCAGATACCCCCCAAGTCTCTGCTAGAGTCTTTGGCAACATGACACACTAATTTTAGGAACCTAATTTGTCTTGGAATGACTGAGAGTGCTTTTGGTTCCTAAATTTTGAGGATGTGAAGCTAGTGCTATAATAATTATGCATGTCATATTGGATCTTGGTATTTTCTAAAAAGATGACTTCCATGAGGGACTTTGAGGTCTGAAGAAACTATATTCACCCTATTGAGAGGAAGGATAGGGGATAGCTGCAGGAAGAACCCCAATCCTATCTCTCTCTCTCTCTTCTCTTTTTTTCTTTTAATTGAAAACTCTCTGACTTCAACTTCAGGATTTTGGACTTTAGACTCACAAGGGTGACATGATTTGCTTTAGAAATTTATTTTCTTTGGACTGTAATTTACAAGAGAATTTACCCCTCGGATTTAAATTTTTTTTTCCACAAGAATTTGATAATAAAGGAGGATTTTTATTATTAGAATTTTTTATGTTGTCAATAAATCTAATACCAGATCTTTGTTGAGCTATCCTGGATTTATTTCGGTACAGAATATAGGAGAGGGAGTGAATTTTCAACCTTGGATTAATGTACTGCTCAGATCCTCGATTCATGTTCTGATTACATCCATTTGTGAACTTTTTGTGACTAAATCTACACTTCCACCTGTAAACCCAGGAGGGTCCCTAGAGGAAGAGTGGCAGTTGGTACGGAGAGAGCCTCATGAAAGTGGATTCAGCTCTGACACTGGGTGCTGGTCCTCACTTTAAGCAGCAAGGATTTAAAAATGTTTAAACTACAGAAGATGTATGTTCTCCAACTTATCTATGTTGTGGATAACTATTTTTGTGGATCTTTATGGTCTGGTGACTCAAGTCTCTGCTGTGCCCCAGAAAGCTTCCTGGAGTAGGCAATAGTGCAAGGAGCCTTTACAGGAAATGAGTAAGGATGGCCAATCAAGTACCCTTCCCTTCTCTTGAGACTTTCCATGTTCCCCATGTCATCTGTGAAATGCTTACAAGAGCTGCCATGCTATTTCCTAAACAGATGAGGATATGGCCAATGTTATTGCCTGCACAGAAAAGGAGACTAAGGCACAGAGCAAGAGTTATTTGTCCAAGGTCACAAAGTAAAGGGCTAGATCAGGATTTGAATCCAGGTATTCAGGTCAAGCACTTTGCTTTTCTGCTTCTTGACTGGCCAGGAGTAGATCCTTGTTTTACTGAGCTCTGTGGGAAGGGTTTTGCCTTCTCTGAGATCTGAGTTCTTTAAAAACAATCTATAACTAAATCAGTTAAAACAAAAATGTTCAAAACCAAACTTGAAATCAGTGTTGCATTTATTTTTCCCCACCCACAAAGAACTCTTTAATCTTTCAAAAAAGAAAAAAAAAAGGGTGGGGGGAGGTGGGGAGAACATGTGCATTAGCCTGCCGTAGCTGCCATAACAAAATACCATGCACTAGGTGAGTCAACAACAGAAATTAATTTTCTCACAGTTTTGATGGCTGGAAGTCCAAAATCATGGTGTCAGCATGGTTGGTCTCTGATGAGGATCACCTCTGATGAGGCTTGCACACAGCAGCTTTATGACTGTATCTTCATATGGTGGAGAAAGAGAGAAAGAGAGTGAGCTTTCTTGTAACTCTTCTTATAAGGATGCTAAACCCATCATGAGGGTTCCACCTTCATGACCTCATCTAATCCTAGTTATCTCCCAAAGGTTCAATCTCCAAATAGCATCAGATTGAATGTTAGCACTTCAACATATGAATTTGGGGACACAAAAATCTGTGCATAATAATGACTCAGTGCTGGTGGATTCTCTGTGTCCTGGGCTCAGAAAGCTTTGTCTTCCTTAGAGCAATCACTCTGTCCCATAATAGGACAGAACCAGCATATACTGAGGGGCATAACACATGTGACAAAGGGCATCTTTGTAGAATATGAATAGAATGTTCCATCTCCTCTAAAACTGGAGTTGGGATCCAGGGTAGGTAGCATGTATGCAACTTGGGGGAGACATATACCTTCCACAAGTTTTACAAGTGAAGAACAATAATCTGGAATGGGAACCTGGAGGCAAATCTACATCCCTCCTAGATTCCATCTTCTCAGTTTAGTCAAAATTAAAATAACCTAGCCTGAGGGAACATACATTCTGCAAGACAGCCTACACAAGAAATGAATGTTCCCTTTATCAATTTTGCAGAGAGGGAGAATAGAGATTGGCACAAATAGCTGGATTTTGTGACAAAAATTAGAAAATGAGGAAATTTTGTTATTCCAAATGTATTACTTGCAAAATTAAAGGGTAAGAATGAGATCTATTCTACCATGTTTCCCTGGAAACTAAGAGTTTGGAGATACCACCATAAGAGCTTTGGCCCCACCTGGCCAATGGGTCTCTTCCCCAGACTCTCTGTTCTGGGCCTGAGAAGGTTGGGGTAGCCTTTCTAGTGACTAAAGCTATAGGATGGAAAAATCAGGGTTTGTTGGCTGCCATTTTGTCTGCAAGTTTGCCAGTGGTTGGAGTTGAATGGAGAAGAGGGATTAGAGATGGATTGTCAGGAGGGGAGGAATTGTGCTCCCCTTCTCCCAAATTCATATGTTGAAGTTCCAGTCCCCAGGACCTCAGAGTGTGAGTACATTGGAAGACAAGGTCTTTAAAGACGTCATCAAAATAAAATCCAATTTAATCCAATATAATTGGTATCATATAACAAGAAGAGATGTAGGACACAGACACAGAGGGAAGACCATGTGAGGACTCAGGGAGGCCATCTACAACCAAGGAGAGAGACCCTTAGAAGAAACCAGTCCCACTGACACCTTAATCTCAGACTTCTAGCTTTCAGAACTGTGATAAAATAAATATATGTTGTGTAAGCCACCAGGCAGTTGTACTTTGCTACAGAAGCCCTAGGAAATGAAGAAGAGTCCCTTGCCCAAGTGATCCTGAAACCCAAGTGTATTTCCTGTTCTTGAAGTCCATGAGATAACGCATGATCCTGATGAAAAATTCTTGTTTTATCCCAAGTTATTTTAAGTTGTGTCTTTATCCCGAATAACCAAAGGGATCCTGATTAATACAGTTTTGATAAATAAGAAGGGATCCACTGGCAAGGAAAGGAGGGGAAACTTATTCCAAAAGTACAGAGGCACAGGCACCAAGAATGCCTGCAGAGGCTGAGGGAGCCACAGAAGCCAGGTCACACAGGACCTTTTACGCCATTTGATGGGAACTCTCGGGTGGGAAATACTGAAGTCATTCAAGGAATTATATGAAGTATCAGGTTTGGAGTTTTGAAAAATAACTGACCACAGGGGCATGTGGACTGGAAAGAATTAAGTTAAAATATGTGATATTGTGATTTAAAATAAGATATACTATATATGATCTTCATCCCCATTTCCTGAGATGCAGCTTCTAAAACCCTTAGAATCTCCAGAGCAATAAGAGTGTCTTTCTCACATGCAGAAAGGGTTGGTAGCTGGTGTTCCCTGGATAGACTCAGGATGAAGGCTGTTTGCCAGCAAGACCAAGGCATGATTTCAGCCTCACCCCTCTTGGAAGGAAGAGAGGAGCTCAAGGACTGAGTTGATCCCCAATGGCCAATGATGTCATTAATACATCTATGTAAGGAAGCTCCATGGAAACCTAAAAGCATTGGATTTGGGTGCGTCTGGTTTGCTGAACATACAGAGGCGCCCTGAGGGTGGTACCCAAGATGGTATGAATACTCTATGCCTCTTGTCCTGGGCTTCATCCTATGTTCTGTCTTAGTTTGTTTTCTGGTTCAAAACATCCAAGACTGGGTCATTTATAAAGAAATAGAGGCTTACTTTGACTCCCGGTTCTGGAGACTGCAAAGTCCAAGATCAGGCAGCTGCATATGTTCAGCTTCTGCTGAGGGCCTCATGCTGCTCCTTAGCTTGATGGCAAAGTGGAAAGCAAGAGAGAAAAAGGAGCCAAACTCTGATGACAGCCAACTCAATCCTTTGGGAAAGTTGAGGGCTCTCTGCCTCCATGATATAGGTATCTCCCACTCGGCTCCACCTTCTGATATTACCACATTGAGGGATTAAGTTTCCAACACCCGAATTTTAGGGGACACACTGAAACCAGAACAACATCTTTTCCATCTGATTGTTCATCTGTATCCTTTATAGTATCCTTAATAATAAACCAGTAAATATGAATGTTTTCCTAAGTTCTGTGAGCTTCTCTAGAAAAGTAATCAACTCTGAGAAAAGGGTCATGGGAATGCTGACTTATAGCTGGTTGGTCAGAAGTATAGGTGACAATCTATTTCTTGCAATTGGCATGTTAACTACAGGGAAACCTCATGGGCTGAGCCCTCAAACTGTGGGATCTGATGCTACCTTCAGGCAGATAGTCTCAGAATTGAATAGAACTAGAGGACCCCAGCTGGTGTCTTCTCGACAAGTGCTTGGTGTATGGGCCAATACCCTCCCACATCTGGTGTCAAAGCATTCTGGGTTGTGAAAGAGTAGGAAAAGATGCGGGGAGCGCTGAGTTAGGAGGATTGTGAGTTCAAAGTCAGCCTCAGCAACTTGGCAAGGCCCTAAACAATGCAGCAAGACCTTGTCTTAAAATAAAATATAAAAAAGAGATGAGGACATTGCACAGTGTTTAAATGGCCCTGGGTTCAATCCCTGGTATCAAAAAAAAAAAAAAATCTGTTAAAGTAAAGAAGTAGGCTGGAAGGCTTTTCATATGGTCTAGGAGGTTTTTGTTATTTTTAAATAGAACTTGAGCATACTTTCGTGCTTGAAGAGAAGAAATTTGCATAGAGACTGAGGGTATAAAATAAAATGATAAATATGATCATATGTAAATAACTATTGGGGACTTACTAAGTGTTTGGCACTTAGTAAATGAACAAAAGAGACAGAATCTCGAGCCTCTTAGATTCTAGCAGCTCAAGGTCATGGAGGTGAAGGAATGGATGGCCTAAGACAGAGGAAGAGAGATGGGGCTTGTACAGGAAGAAGATATTCCAGTTTTCTGAGAAAGAAGAGGTGAGGGGGACACAGATAACTTTGCAGGAAGCTGAATTTCCTTTGCCCTTTTGGATGGGGGTCATCTGTTGCATGGGAGAGGGGTGACTAAGAAAGGCAGAGTTAGGAAAGAAAGGTAAGAAGCTGACTGAAGAGACACAGGCAATTTTCAGACAGAATCCAGGGTCTAAATGAAACCAAAGAACATAAATTTGTGAAGCCCCAAATCCCTGCAGTTGTTTGATACAGGCTCAGAGAAGTTGCTGCATGCTCCATTATTCCAAGTTCACTCACTGTAGTCACTTTGATGGGACAGTAGTGAGAGACCCAGGAGTGAAGACCCAGAAGCTTGCATTGAGGATGCGGAGGTCTGATCCAGCCCCCAGGAAAAGAGTGTCATGGTCCAGGATTGCTGGATTATGCAACGGGACACCACTGCCACGTTTATGTTGACTTTGATCTAAGTGACTCCTTAGGTCCCCTAGAAACACTC